CAAAATCTGAGGACACCTTTTTGACCTGATCTTTCGCAATTTCAAGTTGAACACTTAGAGAAGACTTTTGGTCTAGATTCTGTTTCAGTACCCTGTGATTATTGTCTAGTCTCTCCTTTAGTTCTTTAATTAGATTGTCCTTCTCAAGTAAGGACTGAATTTGATTATTTAAAGGAGTATGAGAGGTATTTACAGAGTTTGTTGAGCATTCACTTTCGGGGATCGCAGCATCACCCTTTCTTTCATCTTTTTCCTCCACTCGTGCCATCAGGGCATAGTTTTCTTCTTCCTCCTCCTCTTCAGAAGTGTCTTCTGCCCAGTTATCATTCTCAGCAATCATTGCAGAAGTTTCTTCTTCTTTCTGCACCATCAACATTTTCTGCTTATTCCACAATATCTTCTGCTTGTAGAAGTTTGCATCCTTCTTCTTTGGGAGGCGGAAGTCTTTGATGACATGTCCAGCCTTTCCACAATTGTAGCATTTGGGAGCATCTTCAGCTAATGGCGCCTTTCTAGAAGATCCTTGTTCATGGTTCTTGTGTTTGTAGTTAGATGAGGAAGTTCTCAGCTTGTTGGAGGAGCTGTTCTTTTTGGCAAATCTCTTGGCAAGCAGTGTCATCTTCTTCTGTAAGTCTGCAAGCTCAGCCTCCAGATCAGATTTGTCGTCATCACTTTCATCATCGTCTGATTCAACCACCACCTTCTTCTTCTTCTTCTTCTTCTTCAGTGGTGTGGTTGTCCTTCTGAGCTGAGCTTCCATCACTAGAGCCAGGAGATTTGTGGTGTGATGATCCTCGGCACAAGCAACCTCATTGACAAATTGCTTCAAATGTTCATAGAGAGTGCAGAGGTCAATTTCATCCAAGTCAATCCGAGATCTAACATCCTTCACTGTCTTTTCCCATGCAGGATGCAGGCTGGATAGAAATCTAATATTCAGTTCCAAGTTGGACCTGAATACTTTGATTTTTCTAAGTTCATTGACCAGTTGGACGAGTCTATTGTAAGTCTCGTTCAATGGTTCTCCCGGTCCTGCTTTGAAGGAGTCATAAGCAATAAGAATTGCTGTCTTCTTGGTTTTAAGGCTAATGCTTGTGCCTTGGAGCAGTTTTTCTATCTCATCCCACATTTCCTTTGCTGTTTGCATGCTATCGATGAGCACATATACTTCATTAGGGATTGCTTGAAGGAGGTACGTCTTGGCCATGAGATCACCTCGAAGCCTGAGCCTGTCAGCTTCGGTATATTCAGATGCAACTTTCCTTCTTATTTCTGGAAGAATAGGAGGGTTGTTTTCTGGATCACCACCAACTGAAATCATCAGTTCAGCTGGTCCTTCAAGCAACGATTCAAGCATCGCAGCGGAGTTCTCTTTGTGCTCAAGGAAATTAAGGAATCAATTCCTCCACATTTGGTATTCTCCTTTCCTGAGACTGGGAGGAGTACTGCTGTTCCCTTGCGCATTGAATTCTGAGGCCATTGCTGTATAAAACTGACCGTTCGAGATAATTGATCAAAAGTTTTTCAGAGGCAGAATGTCGAAAATCAGATGTCGAGATCTGAATATCGAGATCTGGGATTTCGATAAAGGAGGCCCGGTTTCGAGATTTGATGTCGAGATTAGGATGTCGAGATTAAAGATCTCGAGATTTCAAATTTCGAGAAGAAGATCTCGAGATTTGAGATGTCGAGAAGTTAAACTCGAAATCTTATTTCGAGAAGTCAAATGTCGAGACCAGATGTCGAGACCTTAAACTCGAAATCCTTGATCTCGAGATGTAGATGTCGAAATCCTCAATGTCGAAATCCTGCAATCTGTAAAAATCAGATAATCAAAATCTGAAGATAGTTTCTTGTAGAGTATGATGTCGAGATCCTCAGGTGAAGTTTTTAGCTCGAAATACTTGGCAGAACCTGCTTAAAACCTAGATGTCGACAAAGCTATTCGAAATATCTCAAGTACAGGAATTGCGAAAAACGAAATCTGAAGTATACCCCTTGATCGCTTCGAAACGACGATTCTAAGGGTGTAACTTTTACAACTTTTTAACAAGAAACGAGATTACAGAGTGAAAAATCGACAGAAAGAACAACGTAAAGAAAAACAGAGTCTTCTGCAGGCGTTCTTCTGATCGGCTCTCGATCGGCTCTGATACCAATTGATAGTCCCTGTTTCTGTAACAGCAATGAATAGCAGTCTAACAAAGAAGATTAAACGTAAAGATGAACACAGATGAATCGATGTAAAACCCTCTTTGATAGACCGTGAACTCGTACACAGAAAGATTTGCGCTTAAGGCTATAATGAACAAGTACGAAAGTTAACCTAATCCTGAACCCTCGGCTCCCTTTTTATAGGCGAGGTTCAGGTTAGGCGTGAAAGGCTTTTAGCCTGTTTATATGGACCTAACACTTGGCCCACATTCTATCTAATACATGTACTTATTTAATACAAGGAATAATAATAAAGCTAATCTATTACAAAATAGATGACAAACTTGATTCACAATTAAATGATCTTCAACAAAGATGGTCAGAAGTACGTTGAAACCGGGATTAAGAGGTGTTAAATAGGTCATTGGGACTCATTTGATTGCTTTTTACAAGTAGAGATACTTATATGACACTTTATTGAGTACATGGTCATATGTGACTATTTCATAATAGTAGAAGGCCTTATTTGATCCTTTTCTCTAAAACATATATATTTATGCATATTTAGCTTTGCCTTCTCTGGTAGGGGTGAGCAAATAACCGATTTAACCGACCTGACCGAAAACCGATGACCGAACCGACAGAAAAAATCGGTTTTGGTCGGTTTTCAGTTATAATACTCCCTCCGTCCCTAAATTATCTTCAAATTTTCCTTTTTCGTCCGTCCCAAAATTATCTCCTGTTCCCCCTTTTAGCAAAAAATTTGTGGTTCACAACCATTCTTACACATTTTTACACATTTCTCTCTCCTCTGCACAACTCTCCACCACACAAATCCCACTATCTTAATAAATGTGCCCAGCCGAAAAGGGAGAAAGATTAGGGACGGAGGGAGTAAAATAAAAAGAATCGGTTATTCGGTTATTCGGTTTATATTCGGTTTTAAACGACCTGACCGACCGATAACCGTCCAAAATATATAAGTATATATACTCCATAGTAGAGTAGTCTTCCTGTCCAGAATTCAGGACAGGAACCGCCATCCGGCCGACGGATTTTGGGGCTCTTCCCGGTGGAGTTTTTTTATGAAATTTTTATGGCATGTTTTTCATTAAGTCTAGTTTATCCACAAAAAATGTCAGCTAAATATTCCATCGGGAAGGTCGTCAAATGATTTTTGGAAGTTAACTGCGCTAAAAATACATATAAAACGCAGTTAACTTCGAAAAATCATTTGACGAGCTTCCCGATGGAATTGTTTGCTCAAATTTGGTATGAATGAACTAGACTTGATGAAAAACATGACATAAAAATTTAATCAAAAAATTCCACCGGCCGATTATGGTCGGTCATGGTCGGTTATTCGGTTACCGACCGAAATCGAATGACATTTTTCGGTCGGTTTTTGTAATGTTGTCGGTCGGTTATTTGAGTAAAAATTATTGGTCGGTTATTCGGTTATCGGTCGGTTATTTGACCGACCGACCGAATGCTCACCCTTATGAATCTCTGGCACTAAAACAACAATAGCGAGTTCTTGTATAGCTACCACCATCATTATTAATTGATAATAACATGACTGGTGAAGGACTAAAATTAGTAAAAACTCTTAATAAATACTCTCTACGTTCCGCAATGAACTTCCCACTTTCCTTTTTTGGATGTCCGAGAAACAAGTTCCCATTTTCTTAAATGGCAAGTTAATCTACATCAAAACAGTGCCAAACAACGTCGAAACAGTGTCAAAATAGTAAAATTTACCCCATGGTAAATTTATTTCCTTAATATGTGTGTAGGTCAAACTGTGAAGTTCATTGTTGGACGGAGGGAGTATGTAACCAAGCCCCTGCAGCCCAGACCGGCCTAAGCCCACCCAAGTGACCCAGTATCCCTCAGGTCAGCCCTCACTCGCTTAGCCCTATCAAGGCCTGTCAATGGGTCGGCTCCGGGTCGGAACGTAGTGTTTCAAACCCGAAACCGTTAAGTTAATAATGGACCCGGACCTGACCCGTTTACCCGGCGGGTCTGAAAAATTGGACCCGGACCCAGACCCAACGGGTCTCGAAATCAGTTCGGGTAGACCCACCCACCAAGTATGATACACACACCATTATAAATTTTATGAAAATCGCAAGACATGTATGTGAAATATAAAGCAAAGTGTACAAATTTAAAAGCAAAATATATCTTCACTTTTCAAAACAAAATCAAGGTCTCTCATAGAAAATTAGTACTTTTATCTAATAAAGTATCGGTTCTTGTACATGCATATAGCTCCACACTTTGCGTCGTTTTCTCTCACACAAAAATCTCGTAGAATAAACTAGAAATTAAGTCATAAAAAGGTCTCTTGGACTACTAAGAGTATAAAATCATATGTAGTATTACATATGATAATGATATAATAATATTAATAATAATATTAATAAATATTGTGCTTTTCCTACCAAGCCCAATAAACACTTTATCAGTATGTATTTACGGACAAAATGGGCATTAGTTTTAGGGTATCTTACTGTCTTGATTAGTATCACTTAGTGGTATATAGTATTTATGTATTAATGTGTATATTTTTATTGAATAATCACAAATTCACAACTAATAACTTTATGTATTATTATGTATACATGTATATTAGTTTCTATTTTATTTAAAGTGTTATAACTAATCACTTTATGTATTAGTGTATGTGTATACAAATAAGAAATTTTAAACGGGTCCGGGTACTTAACGGGTCGGAATCATATGTACCATACCCGACCCATTTATTTAAAATACTAACGGGTCCGAATTCGGATAAACGGAATATAATATAGACTCGTACCCATTAAAAATAACCGGGTCCGGGAAGGGTACGGGTCCCGACCCATCGAAGGGTAGGGCCTATGCCCCTGTCAGCCCATCTATTCTGGCCGAAGTATAAGCTGTCATTCCTGTCAACTGCTATGCCGAACACGAGACAGAAGCGGGACTGCGGGAGTTGGGAAGCCATCTCTGCGCAGCAACAGCCAAGTGAGCAACCCAAGTACCCAACGACGACGGACGAGTACGACGCGTCGGGCAACTTGCCAACGGCGAGTCGGCCACCCCTTCGGCAGTTCGGCCCTTCTTCCGGCTTACTCTCAAGTCCCATATCCATCTCGCAGGTAAGCGCTGCTGTAACCTTCAATCCCAGATTTTTTTTTCTCATTTTATAAATTGTTACTTTTATGTGCAATTCTATTTTCATCATTAAATAGTTAATTTTATTGTAATTCTGGATTTGTTTATGTCGTTTCTTACAGTGCAATTTTTACAATTATACTCGTATTACTTCAATGGTAGTCTTTCTAGGTAGTTTGACAAAAAAACTCAATGTTACAATTTTGTACACCGATTCCTAAAGGTAGTAAAGGTCCGAGCATGGATGGTTCTTCTTTGAATAATTTAATTTCTTCATCACAAAATGTCATTCCTAACACTGAAAATAAGGTTAAAAAACCTCAAATAGAAGTTGAATTGTCAGATATATGATGACATTGTTGACACCAATTCCTGGATTTTTCATGGATTCATCTTCAATTGCCGGTTAAAGCGGGCAGGACTTTACTGTCTCAAGTTGTTATTTGTCAGTTACAAAAGGTGTACTTTCCCTTGGCCGGTTACAATCATAAAAATGAATTGAAGAAAAAATACCACGATGCATTGTTAAAATGTGAAGTTTGTATTTAATTTCCCCCAGACTTCAGAGTCTTTTGCTGTCTGTATTATGTATATTAGCTATTTGAAGAAAACCAAGAAAAGTTATTTAAGTAGCTATTGCTGGAAGCTGCCTGCCTTGCTGGAGACCTTCCCTTTAAGTAGCTATCACTGAATATGAGTGATGATTTTCTCTTTAAAAATCTCTATCAATTATTGCACCCCTAAACTTAATAACCGATGATATTGTAATCATATTGTTATTTTGAAGAAAAAATCTTTGCGTACATCGATTATATTCTATAAGGATATATGAAGGATTTGGTTTTATGATAAAATGATTCTCTTCTGCAAATAAGAGTGAGCTCTTTGGAAAGTCAAGACTGCCCACACCAAGTGCCTTAGCCCAATCTCCGGAAACAATGCCCCCGTGGAATACAACATGGTGTTAGAAGTTTGCCACATCAGAAAATTACTTAACCTGTTGGCCCCTGCAGTCCGAACCACGATGTCGGGATCCGGGCCCAAACCCGCTGTATACATATTCTTCTCCATGTCCACCACCGTCACAATCCCCCCCGCCGCCGCGGGGGCCACCTCCAAGGAGTTTACCTGCATCAACTCTTCTCTCTTTGCCATGCAGCACTGCTGAGTCGCACGGACCATCTCAGCAGAAGAAGCATAGGCCAAGCAGACGATGAGGACAATGTTGGAATTTGCACGGGTTGCGTGCATGGCGGCCTCGGCGGCGACCCTAAGTCGTCTGTCGATTAAGTTAAGGTTCCCAATGAACTGCACCCGGACTCCGTATTGGTTCAGGACATCCTGGTACTTGAGCAGGCCTTCGACTTTGGTGGACATCAAGTCCATCAGGAACTGGACTTCCTCGGCCGTTCGGCTGAAGTTGTCGATGCTGAAGATGAAGAGTGAGACGTAGTTGACGCCTAGTTCGTGGCAGTACTTGAGTAGGCAGATGAGAGCGAGAAAGCCGGCTCTGTAACCTGTCTCGTTTGGGAGTTTGTGTTTCTTGGCGTACCGTCGGTTTCCGTCAAGAATGAAGGCGATGTGTTTGGGAATGACTCCCGCAGATAGAATGAGGAACACGAACCTTCTGAGGAACCTGAAAATGCTCCCGAAGAGCCACCCTGCTGCTGCTGCTGCTAGCTTTTGGGTTTGGGCCATGTCATATATATGATCAATCGACGACTTAAGGGAATTGGGTGCTTAATTATTATGCAGCTGCTAGCTGTACTCGGAGTTTTAATTTGGGCGAAGCAGCTAGAACGTACAGAATTGATGCCATGCATGCTCTTTCCATGGGGGCAGTTATTTCCAGGAAAGAAGTAGAGATTCATTTCACTTTACTCATCCATCACTCATATAGTATGATTTTAATTTGTTTTTTAAACACCACCATATTACCTAATTTAAACACCACGATAGTACTTGTGTTTTAAGGGTTTAAATGCACTAAGCCTCTTAAATTCGGCGCATAAGCCTATGTGATTTAAAAAATGCGTCAAACCCATTTGCATTATAGTTATTCATGCGCAAAAAGTCTTTATGATCAAATTTAATTGCCAAATAAAAGAAAAAATATTACTCCTTCCGTCCCATAAATTCTCATAAAATTCTTTTCACTCACCTTTTTGGGATGTTCCAAAAAATTCTTCCCATTTTCCTTTTTGGAAAGTTTTGGGTGACTATCATTCATTCACCCTTTCTTATGCAACCACAATCATAAATTTCCATTTTATTTCTACTTCATCAAACTCTGATTCAATCATATTATTAAGACAAGTGATTTCGAAATTGTAAAATTTGTGCTTGGAGGTGAGTTTTGACGCATTTTTTAAATCATAAAGGGCTAATGCCCTGAATTTATATATAATGGGAGGGTTTAGTACATTAAACTCTCTGTTTTAGGAGCAGTTCTTTAATTTGATGATGAAGATGAACCAAGAGTGAGCTTCAAAATTAAAGAGGAGTCTCGCCGGTCTTCATCTACGATGTGAACCTAAAAATCTAATGGGAGGTGAGGATGTGTCTACATTACACTTGTGGCGGTGAAAACAGAATAAATTGAATAAACTAAATAGCTAACCACCCCAATAGTCATTTCATTTTCATTTATCCCAGTGCCGCAAAGGCTCCCACCTACGGTGGGGTAAGGGGGTTCGGATGTACGCAGTCTTACCCCTGTACTAAAGCACAGAGAGACTGTTTCCGGATGACCCATAGTGAAAATCCCGTCCAAGATTGCATGGTCTGACTGCTGCTTCATAACAAAGAAGCGCATACAGTTTAGTGAGCCATTTTGCTTTATTCCATCATAATCTCAAGCCAAAAAAATAATGAATCTTTGGCTCCATTGCAAATGAACCATCCCAATAGAGTAAGGTAATATTATTATTCAAACAACTTCACACTTTTTTAGGTTTTTCGTTATGAAAAAGAGTCCATTTCTGATTGGAACTATCAACATCGACCCAATTGAGTTTGAACCAATAATAGTATATAAATACAGAGTCACCATTCATTCTTCAATACATCTGATGTTACAACTAACTTAATTAAATATTGAGGGTGCAATTTCCCACTCGGCGAGTGTTATAACTAACCAAGTTTGTTAGCTAAACCCGTAGAGGCACAACAATTTTCTATATATGAAGGCATAATTAATTAGTTCAATCCATATTATGGGAACATTAATCTTTGGTTCAATAATTAAAACTAGAGTTGTCTTGTAATGCTTTTCATATATCTAAGTTGAGTAATTAATTCTACATGCAAATTGTTGGAACAAATCGTTGAGTAATTAATTCTACATTTATTAGAATTAATTATGCAAGTTATTTCTATACTGGTGAGATTTAATTATCCATTAATTAGTCCATTTGTACCTTTTTATATCTTTATGACCAATTCTAGCTATGTAAGGGGAAGGTGATAAGGCCGATGTTAGGGTTCTGTGACTGAGAACGAGTCCAGGGACGTCTTGGGGTAGCAGGGTACCCGGTTGAGGTGATAACCTGCCTGTTAGGGTTACTCCTCTTCTTGACCGTGGCCGGAAGAGCGCAGTAAGAGCGCATGGGGAAGGGGGAAGTCCGTGACTTCTCTCTGGGGATTAATTCGTCTAATGATCCATATTTTATTAAGGCTGAAAAAGGAATATAAATAGGCATCCTGCCTTTACAATTTACATGATAGAGTTCTAGTCTATCTAAAATTGTAACCTCTAAATACTTCTATTACTAATAGGACTTCTAATCTAATAGAAATTGTAACCTCTAATACTTCTATTCCTAATAGGAAGTAATAAATAAAATATAAAAATAGCATCAGGATAATTTCTCTCTTCTAATTAAACTGTTCTAATTATATCTCCGGCTAGATCCATAAAATGCATCTGTAACATCACTCCCTCCCTCGAAACTGAGCTTGTCCCCAAGCTCATATCCTGGATAAGCAGTGATAAAAGTGTCAAACGGTTCCCAAGTGGCCTTGTCTGGTGTGCAGCCTTGCCATTGAACTAATAGTTCCACTTATAGCGTTGGCGGACAACTCCAAGTCTGGGAAGCCATCATCTTCTTCCTGCTCATCTTCTATCTCGATCAAGAAAAGTTTTTTGCATCGGTGATTCATCCTCCACTGTTCATCACAATTATAACATAGCCCTTTTGCTCGTCTTTCTGCCATTTCATCCTTCGTGAGTCGCTTAACAATAGGATTTCCTGCCTTTGTTGTCACAAGCGCTTGTCTAAGCTGTGGCGGGCTGCTGTGTTGTTTCATATCTTTTGTAGGACCCGAGACTTTTAAAGGTGCAAGCGTCAGTGTTTGCCTTGCTTCCAATGTCCGTGCAAGGTTCATTGCGTAACCCAGGTTGCCTGGTTTTGCTATCTCCACATCAGCCCGTAAGTGGGGATGGAGACCTGTGACAAACAAAGCAATCTAATGGGGGGACTGTATTTGTGAAGTTCTTGCTAAGGCCTTCTGAAATTGAGCACAATATTCATCAACTGATCCGATCTGCATCAGAACTTTCAGATCTCCAATCGGGTTAGAACTCAAAGGGGGCCCAAAGCGCTCCAGACAAAGATCTTTAAACCTCTCCCAGTTGACTTCTCCTTCTTCCTCTATCATCTGATCGAACCACAGTTGTGCATCATCTATCAAGTGGAATGAGACCATATTCATCTTTGCAACACTAGGAGTTTCTTGGTTCAAGAAGAATTTTTCGCACCTTTTCAACCAACTGGTAGGGTCGTAGCCTCGTAGGTGCCATCAAACACAGGAAATTCCATCTTCGCATACTGTGGTTTCCAGGGGTTTGAGGTGCTGTGTGATATCAGGTTGTTATCGGGTTGCTCTTCATGTGTTTCTGTTGATTTGGAATCCCATTTTTGGACTGCCAGAGATAGAGCGGCAATCTGCCCTTCTATGGCGGTTACCCTAGCAGTCATAGCCTCCATAAACTCCTTCATCATGGTGGTTAAATCATCATTCTGTGGCGCCATGGATCATGACAGCTCTGATACCAAATTGTTAGGGTTCTGTGACTGAGAACGAGTCCAGGGACGTCTTGGGGTAGCAGGGTACCCGGTTGAGGTGATAACCTGCCTGCTAGGGTTACTCCTCTTCTTGCCCGTGACTGGAAGAGCGCAGTAAGAGCGTGGGGGGAAGGGGGAAGTCCGTGACTTATCTCTGGGGATTAATTCTTCTAATGATCCATATTTTATTAAGGCTGAAAAAGGAATATAAATAGGCATTCTGCCTTTACATGATAGAGTTCTAGTCTAACTAAAACTGTAACCTCTAAATACTTCTATTACTAATAGGACTTCTAATCTAATAGAAATTGTAACCTCTAATACTTCTATTCCTAATAGGAAGTAATAAATAAAATATAAAAATAGCATCAGGATAATTTCCCTCTTCTAATTAAACTGTTCTAATTAAATCTCCTGCTAGATCCATAAAAATGCATCCGTAACAGCAGATTAGTTGAGTTGTCCCTAGATTTTAAGAGGAATTCTGAAATCGTCAGACAATGGAAGAAACGTCCGGAAAGATAGAAGGTAACACCTGATGACCCAACAAAGATTTGGAGGGTGAAGATATACTGTACTGCCCAACCGTTTTTAGATTCCACGAAGGAGTTTCCTGATCTGTTGGAAAGGTGACGAAATGCACGGGACAACTTGAATCATGTTATTATAAATAGAAGCAAGTCGATCTCGTTGTAAAAACATACACATTTCCTCTGCAAAATAGATAATTTACTGATGATTATTATCAAAGTATTCGTAAATTGTCGATATTATATTGCTCTTGCATGTGATCCCAATCACTATCTAATTTTTTAATTAGTTTTTGCTTACCCAAATTGCTTAAACTCAAACTTAGCTTAATTATACATAAACCTATATTTATATAGTACTGCTGTACTAATTAAGGGATGTTAACTATGATGGATTAATATATTTGTGGTTGAGTGTGCTCTTTCTGTGGTGGAAATAAGGTTGAAGCCTTTGAAAATTCAACACTGCCCAGACCAAGTGCCTGAGACCAATCTCAGGAAACAAAGCTCTTGGAGAGTACAACAGGCAGCTAGAAGTCTGCCACAGCAGAAAGTTACTGAGCCGAGTTTCACCCGAGGTCCGCACCAAAATATCCACCTCCGGCGCTAACCCCATGTGCATATGCTTCTCCAGATCGACCAGCGCAAAACCACGTTCCGCCACCGCCTCCTCCGACATCACTGCCTCCTCCGACATCACCGCCCCACCATTCCCGCTGCGCTGCCATCGTCTGTGATGAACTTCCGAAACCTTCAACCTTCCCCTCTTGTCTCTGCAGCACACTTGGGCTGCGTGAAGCATCTCGTCTGTGGAGGTGTAGGCGACGCAGATGAGGAGGACGATGCTGGAGTTGGCTCGGGTTGCGTCCATTGCCATTTCGGCAGAAGCCCTGAGCCGCTTGTCCAGTAACCTCAGGTTGCCGATGAAGACGACTCTCACTCCGTACTGGTTCAGGGCAGCCTCGTACCTCAGTAATCCCTCCACTTTGTTCAGCATCAAATCCATCAAACATTGGACCTCATCTGGTCTCCGCTTAAAGTTGTCTATGCTGAATGCGTATATCGTCACGTATTTCACTCCCAGTTCATGGCAGTACCTGAAAGTCTAAGCTATGAATGCTTAAAATACGTAGTACTACCTCCGTTCCGAAAAGGTTTGCGATATTGATTTTTTTTTGCTTAATAACGACAAATTTTGGTTAATGATTTTAATTATTATATTTGTATATAATTTAAAAAATTTATACTTATATGAAAATATTTTGAATAAGGAACATTTTGATGTTCAAAATAATTTCGTATTAAAAAATATCACTGGTCAAAGTTGATTGTCATTGATCAAGAAAAGTCAATTTGACGAATCTTTTCGGGATGAAGGGAGTATATTTTTAAGAACTATACAAAGTATATGCTCCCTCCACCCACAAAACTTAATCATTTCATTTTCATCATCATTTTCATTTACCCCAGTGCCGCAAAGGCTCCCACCTACGGTGGGGTAAGGGGGGTCGGATGTACGCAATCTTACCCCTATACTAAAGCACAGAGAGACTGTTTCCGGATGACCCATAGTGAAAATCGCGTCCAAAATTGCATGGACTGACTACTGCTTCATTACAAAGAAGCGCAAACAGTTTAGTGAGCCATTTTGCTTTATTCCATCATAATCTCAAGCCAAAAAATAATGAATCTTTGGCTCCATTGCAAATGATGGAAAACCCACAAAACTTAATGCTAGCTAAAAATGTTACAGGAGTAAAGTATATAAATTAAAACACATCCAAGAACCCCCTGGTGGCCGAATTTTTTAGGAAAAATTGTCAAGTATCTGGCTTTAGTTAAACTTCCGAGTTTCAACTTTCCGGGTCCCATCTGAGTTTAGCTAGGCAGGAGTCAATTCCCGGTTTGACCTATATTAGCGGGTTCCCTCTCAGCCGGACTGGTTCCAAGACCAGTTTATCCGATTCTGGATTGAAGTCCCTTCTGTTTAGTCTGATTCTTACAACATAGCAAATAATAGATCTTTGCTTCAACTTGTTTTATTTTTTATTTACTGGAAAAAGTAATAAAATATAACGAATTTATTATTTTTTAACATAGACATGTGTATTTTTTCCTCCATCATTTGCAATGGAGCCAAAGATTCACTATTTTTTGGCTTGAGAATATGATGGAATAAAGCAAAATGGCTCACTAAACTGTCTGCGCTTCTTTGTTATGAAGCAACAGTCAGTCTATGCAATTTTGGACGTGATTTTCACTATTAGTCATCCAGAAATGCTTTAGTACAGGGGTAAGATTGCGTACATCCGACCACCCTTTACCCCACCGTAGGTGGTATCCTTTGCGGCACTGGGGTAATGATGATGATGACATGTGTATTTTTTTAATTTCATAATGGTTCAAAAAAAAATTCAAATAAAAACATGACTTACAGTAATTTAATTAACGTTTTACTAAACGTATTTGTACAAAATATGTTGAATGTATTCTATTGATCGTGCTGGATGCCTGAAATGAATGGAAATACGGTTTTAACGGAGTCCATTTTTTTTATAGCGGATAGCTGGAGAGATGTTTACCCTTCTAACACAAGCAAAAGGATCATGAAAAGGGGTTGAAGAGTTTCTTTCAGATCAAGTGTGTACTCCCTCCATGCGGTAAACAAGTTTTTACTTTGATTCCTAATTTCAAATCAAGGCAAAACGTAAAGGTGATAATATTATGATGGGAGATTTCTTGTTTTAGTGTTGTAACTTTTGTCAATATTCTCTTTTTGTCACATAACTTATTTAGTGTAGAATTTTTGTCACATATCATCTTGATCATATCCAAGAATCCCTTTGTGGCTGAATTTTTGAGGAAAAAAATGTCAAGTATCGGCTTTAGTTAAACTTCCAGCTTTCAAGCATTCTTGGTCCCATCCTAGTTTAGCTAGGCGGCAGTAAATTCCGGTTTTACCTATATTACCGAGTTCCCTCTCGACCGGACCGGTTAATTTTTAAGAAATATGCTACATTTCCTAATTTCAAAATCAAGCAAAACATAAAGATAATAATATGATGGGAGATTTATTGTTTTAGTCCCGTAACTTTTGTTAATGTTCTCTTTTTGTCACATAACTTTACTTGGTGTAGATTTAGTTTTGTTCGTATCTAATAAGTTCCTTCATACGTAGTATTAAGGATTTTAATTTCCACAGAAAACTACGATTTCCAGAAAAATAATCGAAAAATTTGTTCCCAGTGTTGATTTTTCTGACAAAAATATGGTACATTGTAGTCGAAAAGTCCTTAATATGGATAAATTTATTAGTTGGAGAAATAAACTCTTAAGTGTGTAAAGATACAACACTACATTTGAGGATAGATCTTCAATTCATTCTTAATATGCTCCGCATGCATGTTGTAATAGATTGAAAATCACAATTAGAACATAACAATATAATAAAAGTTGTGTTGGTGGTTTAAAAAAAGAAGACAAAATAAACGAAGTACTGACCTGAGTATGCATAGGAGAGCCAGAAATGCAGCTCTATAGCCTACGACATCAGGGATTTTCATTTTCTTGGCATACCTTCTGTTTCCATCCAGGATGAAGGCGATGTGATGGGGAATCTCACCTATGGATAGAACACGGAAGATGATGCCTCTTATGTATCTAAATAAACTCCCGAAGAACCACCCGGCTAAGTTTTGGGTTCTTGCATCCATTTTCATGCCTGCCTTAAAGTGATGAGGAAGTTGCTGATTAAGAGTGTAATAAGTTTGGGATTTGAAGTAATCAATCATACGTACTCCATGGGAACGGGTTTTTGGCAGGTAATGTGTAACTTATGTATCCTAGTTTGTTAATCACTGCAGTATGATGACATATCTACCAAGTTGGAGGTATTGCCCCCATTGGGTCTATTCTAGGGATTATTCCGAGTTTGTCTGGACTCGACCCGTATTGTACTGAGTTTGGGTTTTTAATTTTTAATTAAAAAAATTAACTTTTTTATAATAAAAAGTTACCCTTGATGGCTATATATTTATTCAAACATAAACTTTTCTTGGACTAATATTCAAATAAAACTGATATAATTAGTTATTAATTTTGTCTAAAATTTTCTTGGATAATAATTAATTAACTACGCTTCAATTGGTCCAGACCTAAATATTTTGAATTTGGATCAAATGGCCCTACAACCTAAACATTCAAAATCTTGGACCAAAGACTGGGTTGGAGCCCGTTTGGTAGCACGAAAATTGGCTGATTTGGCTGTTTCTGCTGAAATTTATGAAGTTCTGGCTGAAGTGGCTGCATTGGCTGATTCTGCTGATTTCAGAAAAAAATACTTTTAAAATATATTTTATTAATAAAATAAAGAAAAAATTATATGTAAAAATAGCTAAAATGATCGTCTACAGTAACTTCGTCTAATACAGCCAGAAAAGTAACTCCAACCTTACTTTTTCTGCTTATTACACAATTCAGCGCGCGAAAGCAAAAGTTACGTGTTTGGTGAAAAAGTTGGTTGATAAATCTGATAAGCTGAAAAATAGTGTTACCAAACGACCTCCTCGTATGCAAATATGCAATCGGTCTGGGTCTGATTTACATGAATTTATCACAGAAAGTGGATCTTCACCATCTTAGAACTAAGGTAGAGGACGTAATAGCTAGGTACGGTTAGGAATGGACTCGGGCCGGTTCGGGCCCGGTTCGGGCCTGGGCCCGGCCGGGCCTCGGTTCTAGGAAGGCAGGCCCGGAACCGGCCCGGATAACCCCGGGTCCGGTTCGGTTCGGGTCACCCGCCCGGTTCACGGGCCGGGCCGGGCCTATTTAATTTTTTTTTTAATTATTATATAATTAGAATAAATCTTATTACAATTACAATATATTATATTCAAATTGAAGTATATTTATTTCAAATAAGAAGTACAATTGAGAATTAGGATAAATTTAAAAAATGTAATACATTTTGTAATAAAAAATCAATCGGACTCTCCGCCTTCGGTTGTTTCCTCCATAAAGTGGCGGGAGGGAGTGATGGTAATTTCTTGAGTTCTTCGTTGGGCCTTCAACCAATCGTGAAAGCAAACTAGTGTCTCAAGAGAGCTCGGGCTCAACCTCGTTCTAAAATCTGTTAGGACGTTGCCGGCCGCACTGAATTCTTGTTCCACGGCAACGGTTGATATCGGCATTGCTAGTACTTGCTTAGCCATCTTTGATAAAATCGGGAATGTTCTTTCATTTTCCTTCCACCACTTAAGAACGTCAAAGTCATCACCAACTTCATAATCAACATTCAATGTTAGATACAAAGAAAGCTCGTTACCTGAGCTTTGTTCAGTAGCGGGAGTTGCTCTACTTTTTTTCAAAAGAGAACCAAAAGCGGATTTTAAAAGTGATTTTCCTTTAGATGAAGAAGATGTTCGTTGCATGGGAGGGGGTGCATTACCATATTGTGCATGAAATTCATTATACAATTGATGAAATAAATTACTAACCTCGTTGAATTCTTGTTTAGGGTCGATGGGATTATCATCGAACTCTTGAGTTGGAAAAAAAGAAGCATAATAGTAATCTATACAATTTGCCAAGTAAGGAAGTTTATAACGAGGATCAAGAACAAATGCAATACCATATATATGCGGAATATGTGAATAATATTTTAAAAACTTTTGTTTCATGAAATCACAAAAATAACTAACGTAAGCGGCGTCGGAAAATTCACAAAAAGCGCCGGCGAGATTAACAGCTTCAACAAAAAATTCGTTTGCGGTAGGTTTATAAACATGACTAAAAGTTAGAGTTGCGTTATTAAAATATGCCAAAACATTAACAATTTTTTCACAAGTGTCGATGTCAGCCGGGTTTATAATATAGTTACAAGTTTGTCTTAAAAAAGCTGGAAAATGATCTTTATATCTAACAAGTACTTGAATTAAATTATAAGTACTATTCCAACGAATAAACAAATCTTTAGGAAAAGCACAATAATTCACACGTCTATCCTTCAAATATTGCCGCCATTGCATTTTTAGTGGAGTGTTAGCCCAAATCAATTTAATTCCCCCCTTGACTACCTCCAAAGCATTTCCTAATGCCGCTAAGCCATCTTGTACACACAAATTTAGAATATGACATGCACAACGTTGATGAAAAAATCTACCCATCAATGTAGAAGCACCACACAATTCACGTAATCTAGTTATAGCAGCAGTATTATTACTAGCATTATCAATTGTCGGGAATTGTTGTTCTTGTGCAAAACGTGGATCATTTTGGGACAATAGGTGTTGTAGTTCCTCGTCGGACATCATCATACCATCTCGCCGTTGGTAATCCGTTTCAAAATCATCTCGACTTTGAAAAGAAGACTCGGCCCGCGCTTTACCTTTGCCTTTGCGTGAAGTAGATCGAGTCGATGCAATCTCCCTCTTGCGGTTGCGTTGGAGATTACCCACATCTACAGAATGTCTACCTCGCTCCATATTTAAAATTGAACAAATATTAGCACTTAACTAATATGAGAAATGTAAAAATTAACTAGTTTTGTTATTTTAATGAGATATGTAGCAATTAACTAATATGAGAAATGTAAAAATTAACTAGTTTTTTTTACTTTAATGAGATATGTAGCAATTAACTAATATGAGAAATGTAAAATTGTAGCAATTAACTAATTAACTAATATGAGAAATGTAAAAATGTAGCAATTAACTAATTAACTAATATGAGAAATGTAAAAATGTAGCAATTAACTAATTAACTAATATGAGAAATGTAAAAATGTAGCAATTAACTAATTAACTAATATGAGAAATGTAAAAATGTAGCAATTAACTAATTAACTAATATGAGAAATGTAAAAATGTAGCAATTAACTAATTAACTAATATGAGAAATGTAAAAATGTAGCAATTAACTAATTAACTAATATGAGAAATGTACAAATGTAGCAATTAACTAATATGAGAAATGTACAAATGTAGCAATTAACTAATATGAGAAATGTAACAATTAAGTAGTTTAACTAATATTAATATGACAAATGAAACAATTAACTTTAACTACTTTAACTAATATTAATATGACAAATGAAACAATTAAGTAATTAAATAGATAAACGAGAAGTGTATATATAAATCAAATGTATAACTATATATAGTATATATAAATATATAATGTGTAAATATATTATAAGTAATATATAATATAATGTATAACTATATTCTAAGTAATATATAATATAATGTATAACTATATATAGTATATATAAATATATAATGTGTAAATATATTATAAGTAATATATAATATATATGTATAACAATATATAGTATATAATATAAATATATAATGCGTAAAGAATTATAATATGAATGTGTATAAGTATATATTTATAAGTAGATAATTAATATTATAATATATGAGTAGATATAATAATTATATAAATTATATATATGTAGAAAGAATTTGGAGAAGATGAAGAATGAAGATGATTGAATATGAGAGATTAAGAGAATAGAGAATTTAGATTTTAGAGAGTAGAAAGAGTTGTAGAAGAAGAGGTGTAAAAAATGTATAGAAAATAGGAGTATAAATAGGTTTTTTTTTGTATACCCCACCCCCACCCCCACCCCACCCCCCCTAACCCCCCAGACCCCCCCTCCTATGCTCCCAACGGCTATAGAGCCGTTTGGGAGGTCTCCCAACGGCTAGTAGAGCCTTCAAATTTTTTAATTTTTTTTTTTTTGTGACCGTTGAGGCCCGGACCGGGCCGGTTCATCAATTTCTAAGCCCGGGCCCGAACCGCTACACGACCGGGCCGGGTGGCCCGAACCGTGTCCTAACCAACAAACCGGGCCGGTCCGGGCCCGCACAGTAGCGGGCCGGTCCGGTTCCGGGCCGGTTGGCCCGGCCCGAGTCCACCACTAGGTACGGTACGTGGTAGCCATTCAAACGATCTAAAGGTATAACATAAATTGACATACATTAATGATGCGAGTTTTCTCGCACTTAAAAAGGTTGTAGGAAAGTGATTGAAGTACGAGTATCGTCTCCACAGGGACGGACAAAATGGAATTAAGGTTTAACTAAATTCAGCGATTAAAAGAAAAAATAAATGCATCGTGCGAGATTGGTTGGTTGAATTGAAATTAAACTAATGCGAATGAGCGATTAAAATAAAAGGTTGGTTTCTCTCTAATTAACGACCAAGGGAAGAGGGATTGATTCCGGGGTAACCAGATTTCTGGTTGATCGAATTTAATTACATGAAATTAATTTAATTGAGCCTAACTAATAATTACTAAGTTCTTACTGCTCCACAGGGGACCAGACAGATCTCTCATGCGACAGGATCCTATATTATCGCCAAGATGAACGAACTTACGGCCCCTTAATCACTACTAACCTCTTAGCGAACGATTAAGTCAAGTGTGTGTGAATGAGTCCTAGAACAAATTAGATCTCTCTTAATTTATTCTACATGCAATTGAAATTTTAGCTGCAGTCTAGGTCACAAGAGATCGGTTAAATTATTCAAACAAAAATTAAACGGTATTCATTCAATTAAACCATCAAGAATCTAGCCATACATCATGATCAACCTCTTCATCAACTCAAAATCCCTAATTAAACTACTCACAATTCATAATTGAAGAATCAACAGAATAGGGAAGAATAGAAATAATTGTCATTAATTAAAAAGATGAACTTACAAATAATCTCAAGATTCTTGAAGGAAACAACTTAAAAACGCAAGTAAATTCGTCCCTAGGCTTCTCCGTAATGTTTGTAATGCCCTGAAACGAGATATGGAGAGGCCTTATTTATAGAAAACAACGAATTCAGGTTGAATTAGGACTGAAACGGGGCACGCACGGCACCCACGCACGGCGTGCACGGCGTCCGACAGACCTGCGCGTCAAAATGTGCCACGCAAGCGTGCATCCCTTTATGCATGGCCGTGCGTGGTTGCCATTGAGTTTTCCGGTTTCTCACCTCGGACGCACGGC